CGTAAGTTGGATTGAAGAGTGTATTTTTAAAAAGCTACAAAAACCTACGGAAACAATTTGCTTTTTTGCTCCATTGTGGACCCATATCCGGCCCCTCATCGACTGAATTGAAAATTGGCTTTCAAGCTGTTTTGTGTCCGTCGTTTTTTCTACAGAACCGCGTTAATTTGAGATAAATTCTTATCATGGCGAATGTTTCTATCATTTCAGTGTTTTACTCCATATTTCAAGCTCCCTGACTGCTTATTATGGTTTGGTTATATCGCCATAACGCCATCATTGTAATCAGTATGCGTGCGTCCGTTAAGGAACTGAATGCAGTTTTGCCTGAAAATAATTTTGAATGACTGCTGTTTCATTTATTATGGGGCATGTTACAATATCACGAACTATGGTTTTAATAATTTTCTATATATTTTCTCCGACTTGAAAAGAAATAAAATCTCTGGGACAATCAAAATATAAAGCCACAAAAATGTCATGATCAGGCGGAAAGCTAGTTATAATATATAAAACGTTAGAAGGCCACTAGATATGGTGATACATTCGGGGAATTTTTTATTTATGGTAAATCGGTGAATTTTTCCACACCTCTTTGTTCAGCTGGGGTTATTCGAAGACTGTCACTAAAAAAGCTAAAGATGGACGGGACGAAACAGAGGACTTGTCAATGCGTCATTAAACACTCTCAGTTGTTTCACACAAAGTTCCACTGGTTTTGTTCGTTTTGAGTGTTTTTAAGGCATTAAGCCATTTTAAAATTCGTATTTCTCAAGTTTACGCCGTTTATATGACACTGAATAAGATAATTCATAAAGAAAATATTTCTTCCCCTAATAATAAAGCAATAAACAAGCAGACAATTGAACAAAAGGTTGGAAGTGTCGGTTTTGTCTGCATCCACACACTTTTTTTACAAACGACGACACCATTTTGAGTGAACACGATTTCAAATCTATCTAATAATATTTTCTCTTGGTTTGAGGTTGTTTGGTACTTATTCATAGCCTGAGTAAACTGTGGCGATGTTTCGCGGAGGCGCTACCGGTCACCGCAAAACTCAGGCTCTCTTTTTCAACAGTGCTCATACAACAATCAAGAATCTGAAAGTGTCGTCAAATGACCAAATGGATGTGTTTTGCACTCTCGCTGCCAAGGGCAAAATATATAACATCCGGCTTTATTAACGGCAACACCGTTTGATGTGCACTTAGAATGAAAGAATCACAGAATTGATTGGAGGGGAGAGGAATGGTTTAGGGAGGATTACCACTGAGAAACGGTCGAAAAAACTAGGGAGGAGGGAGAAAAATGAGATGAAAAATAAGGAGAAGGAACATTTAACTGTCTGTTCCATTCCCCTCTGATTGAAATCACGATAGTAGCAACACCTCCTGAAAAACGTCCACCCACTGAAAAAAGCTTTCCAAAGGAAGCGCTCGTTTATCAATGAAGGATGTGTTTGTCTGTATTCAGAAATGGCCGCGCTCAATTTTATTATTTCCCCCAGCGATTAATGATATCACCTAGCACTTCCTTGAAAATGTATATATATTATCGTGAGTTTTTGTTTAAGTTGAAATGCTGCATAGTTTATATTATCATTTAAATTTTAGACATTTCATGAAAGATAATTCCCTTCAAATAAAAGTTGACATAGACATTTTCTAAAACTTCCCCTGGTTGATCATTCTGATGTGATGTTTCAAAAAATTTAATTTAGATTAAAAAGAATTGGTCACCATACCCACGAAAGACTTATGATCCACTATTAACTTCGATATTACCCAGGAAAGATGTTTGCGTTTCCAGCGATTATTTTTCTGGCATGGAAATTGATCTTTTCTTATTTTACATACAAAGAGGATGATTTCTAGACTTCTCAGTCGTTTACGATAAATCGACCATTTACCTCTCTGCCGAGCTTAGCCGAAAAGAAAAAGCCGCCACGTTTTTAATGTGTGCGCGCTAATTACCCGCGAAATTATGCGCAGTGCAAGGGAATCACTAAAGCCCGGGCCAAACGAGGATGAGAGTTGTGTTGGCTATCACGAGAGTTTTGTTCAACTCTTATCGACTCAGTCATCAAGCGTGGGCCAAACGAGAGAAAACTCTCGACGAATCTCAAGAAACAGGTTCAAATTGGATGAGAGCGCATGAGAGTCGCTGAGATAGAGCGCATTGAACTCTCGGTAACTCTCATCCTTGTTTGGCCCGGGATCAGTTAAGGGGAAAAGACAGTCCATCCTAAATACATGTAGCCTACGAATGGCCTTGATACACAGGGCATATAAAGTGGGTGCCCGACTTTATAGTAAGACACCTTGTTATTACGCTTATATAGCAAAATTTAATGCCAGATGAGGAATTTTTTTGCTAAATTTCGTGCGATAAGCAGATAATAGAGAGATTAAGCATCACGTCTGTCTGCTGTTTGCCGAGTTTCTACGTGAAAGCGATTATTTTAGATTTTTCTGATGGATTTATTTAACGATTCGAGGAAATGTAAAGAGAATCACTGCAAGCTGACATTTGCTGTAGAACGCGATGCTTTAAAATCTCTCTAATGTTAAACAATTGTGAGCACGGAGAACTCCGCGACATTCGAGAACTTCACAAGTCAGGTGAGGAATTTTCCTTGAATCTATACCCCTTATTCGATGGTTTAACATATAATACGCGCGGATATTTTGCGAGTTGCGTAGTATTTTTCCTAGCCCCGTAGGGGTGTGGAAAAATGCGAGCAATGAGCAAAATGTCCGCTCGTATTATATGTTAAACCATCGAATAAGGGATTTATTATTCTACTGCAAAATTTCCCGACTATTATGCTATTTTCCGTATTCGCTCTGTTCAAGTAGTCAATACCGGCGTCTCATATTTTACGTGTTCTCTTGACCTTATATGGTGAAATGACGTAATAGTAGAATAATAATATACAATATCATTCTTGAAAAAGGAAACATCTTTATATTTCTTTTTAATCTTCGTTAGCCAATCTGTGAGTTCTGTATAGGGAAAAATTATAGGAAAAATCCACAACTTTAAGTTATCATTAATACACCAGAGATCAGTTTTATGAATCAAACGGTTTACTAAAATGAAATCGAAGCAATCTTCATTTAATGTCAGACGCGCGAATAGGCCTGGGAACTAATCAAACCCCCCAATCAGAAAATCGACTACATGATAATAATTGACGCTTCACATGAAAGGCCACCTCTAAAAATTACTAGATTTTGTCTCCACTCCACCACAAATAACTCCACAACGCTATGCACCAAATAAGTTTATTTTGGGAGGGCCTGGCGAGAACCAAACCGAACCATGTACAATACAAAATACAGCAACAATGTACGTATTCCTGCTAAATACAATGATACTCAATAATACTTTTACAAAGTAACTTTCGTCAACACAACCAAAGAGTAAGCACGCAGGCTTGATGTCAGTTAGACTGCCAGTTAGGCTGGAGAGTAAACTCACAACTCCGACGATACAGATCAGGGTTTTGCCTGATATCTTCAACTAGGAACAAACAAACTAAGTGCCAGTTAGGCTGGATGACTCTTCAGCCGGCAACCTCTAAATTAAGCACGAAGACTAAGACTAAGACAGACTTAGCCGTAAGCATACAACATTATAATAAATTGGCGAGGTTGTACCCGTAACTCAGTAGCGTAAAAAATTTACAATAACTAGACTCAAATCAATAGAGAACGGCAAAAATGCGAAACTAGCAGAGCTGAGCAACCGCTCACAAACAAATGTGGCTAGAACGGAGGCCAGAAAAAACCTGCCAGAAAAACCCCGTGGGAGAAAACTAGACAGGAAAGCAGCTAAATAGAATGATACTCCTAAACAAGAATGCTTTCCAGAGTAACTTTTGTCAACACAACCAAAATAAGCACGCAGGCTTAATGTCAGTTAGACTGCCAGTTAGGCTGTCAGTTACGCTGCCAGTTAGGCTGGAGTGTAAATACAACTGAGACGTTACAGATCAGTTTTTCCTGATATCCCTAACTAGGAACAAACAAACTAAGTGCCAGTTAGGCTGGATGACTCTTCAGCCGGCAACCTCTAAATTAAGCACGAAGACTAAGACTAAGACAGACTTAGCCGTAAGCATACAACATTATAATAAATTGGCGAGGTTGTACCCGTAACTCAGTAGCGTAAAAATTTACAATAACTAGACTCAAATCAATAGAGAACGGCAAAAATGCGAAACTAGCAGAGCTGAGCAACCGCTCACAAAACAAATGTGGCTAAGTGCCAGTGAGTTACAAAACCGAAATCACTCTCCTCCCGGCTACGTCTCAATTAAGCACGAAAAATAAGACTAATAAGTATAACAGACTAAGGTTAGCATACAATATTATCATAAATATGCGAGCTTGTACCCGTAAAGTAGCGTGACAAGTGTACAGTAACTACATTCAAGTAGAGAAACAGCAAAAAGGCTAAACTAGCAGAGCTGAGCAGCCGCTTACAAAACAAATGCGACTAGAACGGCGGCCAGAAAAAACCTGCCAGAAAAACCCTGTGCATGGGAGAAAACTGGCAGGAAATCTGAGTAGGAACCATGGCTCATGCTCAAAAAGGTTAGAAGCCCATCCTACGAAGGCTTTACATAAGACGACAGTTGTTCCTATGATAAAAGAAATCTGAAAAACTAAAAAAGAAAAAATTAAGCGAGACTAACTCGGTTGGTTCCGAGGCCTAGATGACCATCACGTGCTATACCCAACCTTATATACGCCTACGTAACTACCCATGATTCCCCGGGCCTGGAACCCAGGCCATGTTGTGTTTCGTGCCGACAAAATATTTATTTCAGTCTTCTTCGCAAGCTCATTCGACAGAAATAACACTTTTAGCAAGTTGGACCATGGAGTGACAAATTAAAATATAAGTTTTAATTTTAAAAATCAACACATTAAAATCGAGTGAGATATTATTCTGTCAGTGACACAAGCTACTCGGAAAAAAATTCCGAGTTCCCCCAACAGGAGTCGAACCTATGACCTTCCGCACACCGGTTGGACGCTCTACCACTGAGCTACAGGATACTAGTGGGAGCTAAGTCCATATAACTAGGTTCAAGTGTGACAAACATCCCGCATACTGCTAGGACTAGATTTGTCGATGAATGAGAATTTGTGGAAAGAAATGATGGTATATTTTAAGCTTGGTAGAAATCGATTAAAAATTAAAAATTAAAAATCGATTAAAATCTCATACAAAAGTCTCTCTTTCAGAAAGTGCGTCCCTCCTATAGATATATTTGGGCTAACTTTGGAAGCCTTCTTCCTCTTCCTCTTCTTCTTCTTCTTCTTCTTCTTCTTCTCTTCTTCTTCTTCTATTCAGCACCTATTCGACAAAGCTCTCGCAAAAAGTAAACCAAAAATGCTCCGAGTTACTCCTGAGCTTGCTCAGAGTTACTCAGAGCTTGCTTCGAGCTACTGTGCTCATTTCAAGACGAACGAGTGTTTAGTGCACACCATTAGCGTATGGGTTATCTTTGTCAATTCTGTCAAAAACATTTCAGCCGAAGTTACAACAGAGACCGTCACGAAAGGCAAGGTTGTTTTAAACGTTTAGAGGAAAACACTAGTCAAAAATCAATGGATCGACGAAGATTCTCCAGACGTTTTTCCTGATGTCGAAACAGAGGAAGAAGAATACGAAGAAGACGAACAAGAAGATGAGGACGACGAGGATGACTGATGAAGGCACAGCTAGTGATTCAGAAACTGAGGGCGACAGACCTTGGAAAAAGCTGCGTCTAGAGGTTATTGAGGATCTGAGTTCAAAGTATGATAAACGAGTGGAACGCTACCAGGACGAGGGTGTGTCTAAAGACGTGGCCGAGGCTATGGCCTAGGCTATGGTCGACCGCTGATATATCGTGCTGGCGCTTCCATAGACAAAGTACAAAGCATGCTGGACATGTTTTACTGGGGTTTCGCAACATCATCCCATGGAGAGGGCAGATCGTCGTTAAGTACAGTGACCTCTTTGGTTTCTGCCTCTTGAGTTTCTTCACTTGAGGTGGTTTAAGGCATCATCATCATCATCCAGCGACGATAGCAGATCATCCTCCGAGAGCATCCGTTTAGTGCTTGATAGTTTCTTGAACTTTGGGTGGTTAACATTATCAGCCTTGAACACAGCTTTCAACATCCTCACACGTCAGCTCTTTGACGTCATATGCTATTAGCCTCCTCCTCACACGTTAGCTTAGTCTTTGTTTCCATCATGGCACAATGCATTATTTCTTTACTTCCACTGTGATGACCACATCCGAACCCTTGCCGTGGAAGCATTTCAAATTTCAGGGGGTAGGGAGGGGGGGGGGTACCCCCTTTAGAGCCAAAGGTAGATATATAACTTTAAGGCGGGGGTATACCTGAATTTCAATGAAATTTTATGAGGCTTAAAGAAGGGATAGAATAAAGAAAATGATTTTTTGAACATCAACAGACAGTTGATACCCACGTGGGTGCTCTTGCGTCGGTATCAACTGACTGTTGGTGTCCATCTACTAATTTTTAACTTCAAATTCTAATTTTAGAACTACATTAAATCTTCAATATTTCTTATTTCCCTAAATTTTACGGCTCCTTTGAGAAAAACTATTTCCTCCCAAACATACCCAAAAATCACCCAAAAATTTTACAAAACACCCCATAACATAGATCCGTGTAATGAGCGAAGAGTTTTTGGATGGCGGAAAAAATGGCATTCAGGTATACCCCCCAGGGGGGGGGGGGGGGATAGAGACAGGGCCTGGGACCGAGAACCATGCTCTCACAACTTGCAAAGCGATCAATTTCGTTTTGGTCAGCGGTGTTTTTCTTAAGACAAAATTTTCAAGCAAGCAACCGTGGACGACAATCCTGCTGGTGTACGTTGGATCAACTAGTGATCTAATCGGCTAAAACAAGTGAAAATATACTGTAGAAGCAGAGACCGATACAACGTAGATTTTTAAGTTTTTTTAAGTACTATATTTCGACTGGCCAAACCAGTCTTCTTCAGGTACAATGAGGAAATTTTGCATTGATATACGTGTTATATAGTAGCTACTAACGGAAATACGTCAGAGAGATAACATAGATTGACAGTAAAACAATAGAATAAAAATAATGTAGGGAAACTAAATATCTAATATCTTTCTTCGCGGATGTTAAGGCCATGGCCAGACTTGAGGAAGAAGTTTATCTGGTTTAAAGGATCACAAAGTGAAAAAATACAATAATCATTCATACATCAGTACGCACTTCCATCGCCCTCATCGGCCGCCATGTTTTTCTTTTATAGCTTTCCTTCTGGCTTTACACAACTTCTACGCACGTGCAGATTATGAATCCGCTGGCTAAAGTTGTGATGATTGCTTTGCAAGTTGTGAGAGCATGGTTTTGGATTTGATTTAAGAGAATGTATGGGAAGTAGCTACCCCCCCCCCCCACCCCCCCCCCCCCCCCCCACCCCCCCCCCCCCCCCCCCCCCCTGACCCCGAAACCAAACTAATTCGGAAATAATGCTAACTTACCACATGCATTTCACGAGTATCGCATAATTTCAAGAAATCTGGGTCAATTCCATAATATTGCAAAGCTCTAAAGAGAAAACGAGATTTACGCCAAAACGAGACTAAAGTACGCACTTTAGAAAAAGGGAAAAGCCAAGACGGCTCATATATAGATGCAAATGAACACTGGCTATTTATTTTAGATTTAAATCGAGTGGAGAAAAAGGTTTCAACAGTTGCAATTTTAACGTTTAAAAACACCATGGAGTATTAAAACAAAGCGTGTTCTATTAAAAAAATTGTGTCCGTCGTGACTCTCGGCCTCTCAATACCTACAATTATTGATTACCGCGTAGGGACCGCGTATACGCACAGTGCGCATGCGTACTTCTCACTCTCGCTTATGGGGACACCGTTACACCTACCACTATCCACCAAATCGTTCGCTTCAGATGCGAACTTTCCGATCCCTACACTCGTACTCAGGCGCCCACTCGGTCTCCAAAATGGCGTTGGGTCGAATTCGCCTTCTGATTGGTCAAGACGAGCCATGTGACCGGGGATAATGGTATCCCCCTCTCACGTGACATGTATTCTAAGAAAAGGGGATAGGGTGGTATCTCACCTCTCACGTGAGAAAAGGTGTGGCCGTTACACTGCGCATGCGTACACTCCCACAACTCGTGCTCACCTACCACAATCCTACCAAATCCATACCTGATCAATATATAAATATCTAACACATACTATTGAAAGAAAAAGATGAATTGTGTAACCACACACCTTATTTGGTTATAAATTGTCCTGATTGGTCACGTATATCCCCCTCTTTCATTACCTTATTTGGCCGGTTACGAATTGTCCTGATTGGTAACGTATATCCAGCTTAGGGTTAGGGTAACGATAATTGATGCGGGCCACGCCCATTTTTTAAATCCTGCAATCTGATTGGCTAAGAGCCGTCCCGTGACCCAAATCCGGCTCTCTGATTGGTTCGGGACCTACCTGACCCAAACCGCCACCTTTACTACTGCTACCAATTTTTGTCACATGGGGCTCTGGGGAGAGAATGATTCAGATCTCTTACGCATTACGGAAAAAAAATTAATATGAATATGAACATAAAAATGAAAAACTAAAAAGTGAACCCGTCAAGGAACGGTTGTATCTGCATTATGCTGGTTTATTTTCAGCATGAAGCAAAGTGTTGTAAAATCGAATCAAAAGACGACAATTTCCATTACACCTTGGCGTCGAGTAGACGCTTACCGTAAAAGCTGTATAGAGCTCCCACTGAGGAGCTTATTTCTTCGGACTTCAATTCAAAACGTTTTAAAAGCGCGTCAATTAAAAGAAAGATGATTTAAAAGAAACTGTGAGTGATGTTCTATAAAAGTAAAATACGACACCAGTACACTTGTTTTTAAGGCCTTCGCCCCACCGGTATCCTGAAGGAGTTTTCACTTGTTTAATACAACAATAGTGAAAGAAACATTTTATTTGAAGCTTTTCGTTTAAATCCACTGAAAGATGGAAGATTAGTTAAGGAATCATCAGTGGTTCACCGTAGTTTTATGAACCCGTGCAGGAAACATTATTACACATTGACGGCTTGTGTTTAGTATTTCAAAATGTTTCTGACTTTGTGACATAGCAGTAATATGGACTCAAAAAGCAAAAAAGATGTAATTGCAATTAAAAATTCACACCAATCCGCATTGGCAAGGAATTAAAAGGTTTTACATTATCAGCAATTTACGTCTTGCCGTCCTTTCACGAGCTGACAGACTTGTCGAAATATTAGCAGACCAGACCAATTACTTGAATAATGTATAAACGGCTGTTATAGCGAGCATACACCGAGAAAAGAGCAAAGCCTGTTACAGCTGATACAATACAATACAATCCGTCCTTTTGGCTACGAAACACTTTCCGTAGGTTTTAATATCCCAGAATATCGTGGTCAAGTCACGATTAAAGCTGACCTTTCGGCAAGACAGCCGTTTCATTTCTGGGTTCCACAAAAACAGAACTGAGACTGGGTCACTAGTACTTCGCTGGATCTCTTCTCTCCAAGTAACAATGAAATTAACTCGATACCACTTTAACGCCAAGAAATATAGTAAAACTCTTCCAGGAGTCAACTTTTCGTCTCCTGTTGTTGTCGTTGGTCATTTTTTGCAGCCTCCTAGGTAACTCCATCGTTTGTAAAACAGTATAAAGTGTGGGAGTTTCCGTATCGTAAACCATTTTCTTACTATTTAATATTTGAATGTAGCTGTGGCTGAGTTCATCAATGCGCTGTATATACCCTTTATCGTAGTCTATGACGACAAAGGAAGTTGGATTCTTGGAAAGGCAACGTGCATCTTGGTGAATCCACTTCTGGCGCTGACCATGTGTGTGATAACAAATTCGTTGGCCATCATCGCTGTTTATCACTACCGAGTGATGGCTAACAAAGCAAGACCAACTGGTGTCATCATTAGTGGTGTGTGGATTATGGCTCTCGCAATAACACTACCACTTTTTATCACACGTAAA